CCCCCCCCTACATGTATGCCTGCCCCGCCATCATGCAGGACAGGAGCTTTGAATTTCGGCAAACATTCAGAAATGAAAGCAAATATTCTTATGTCCAACATCAGAAGGCTTATTTTGAAAAATCTAAAATAGATGATACTGTCATTTTCTAGTACACGTTGGTCATTTTTGTTTTAATACTAGAATGTCTATATTTATTGAATGTGGATTTCAGCATGAAAACCACTGATACTTTAACTATTGTTTAATTGCTCTTATCACTCTCCTACTGTCAAAGTTCCTTGTCTGCTACACTATCTGTGGTTTGAACCTGCTTTACATTCTGTTTAAGTTCATTCCAAAAGTGTTTGATGATGGGTTATATCAGAGCTCTCCGATTCTTCCACACCACACTCATCCAACCATGGACCTTGTTTTGTGCAGTGAAACGCACGAAGGGGCGTGCGCAGTCATGGATTTGAGGCACTTTTAAACCCATCACCCCGATGCCAAAAATATTATTTTCAAGGGCCTCTGTCAGTCATGCACTCTTAAAATCGACATCACTTTTCTCACAATTATGGTGCCCCAGGGTACAGTTACGATGGAACAAAAAACGGCCTTCCCCAAACCGCTCCCACAAAGTTGGAATCAATATTTCAAAAAGAAGAAGAAAAATATCACTAGCAGCAGTGGTAGTTGGGTCCGAATTAAAAAAACATCATCTCAGAGGTGCAATGCACACCACATCTGCTGCTTTGCTCTCCACTTACCCTACTTACTTAAGTTTCCAGCTATGAGATTCCCGACATCTCAACACCCCAGAGACAACTTGATGACCTCACAACCCTACAACATGATGGCTGTAGTCATTTGCCCATCTATGGATTCTGCTATTTTCGCCCCAACTAATACTTGAACTCGGAAGTGAGTGAATGAGTGAGATGGCCTTACAGGGCCAATAGCACTCCACACAGAAAGTTGACACTGATTTAAAACCAGAACCTTTTTGTTTGAAGCAACAGTGCTAACCTGTCCGTTGCCTCTATTTAAATAGAGTTCTTTTTTGAACATTGATATCAATGCCAAATCTACGAACACAAATCAGGATAGTCCCATTCAGTAAACATTCAACGCTGCTTCCTGTAATGTAATATCCTCGATTAATTTACCCCAAGCTTGGGAAGTTAAAGGGAAGCTAAGAATAGAGGAGAACATGATGCCCCTGGGATTGAGAAAATCCACAAATAAGAAGAATAAGGGCTTCAAACTGGGAGGAAAAGTCACAGTTAATAGTCTAAACCTTAAAGTAAATTCATTCCACAAAAACAAATTGAGGAACAGATCGGGACTATTGTTCCCCATAGGTTGGGTGAAAAGTATTTGCCCCATAGTTCTGGGGTTCAGATTTCGAATATCAGCTGCGGCTTTCATATGTAGACCTTCTTCCTGTACATGCATGGGTTTTCCCAAGGCACATGGAGACTCTCAATTGCCCACAAGTGTGATTGTGAGTGTGAATGGCTGCTTGTCTACATGTGCCCTGCTATTGGCTGGCAATCAGTCCAAGTGTAACACACCCCTTGCCCAATGTCAGCTGCGAGAGGCACTCACCTGCTTCCATCATTCGGACAAACGCTATAGAAAAAGAATGACAGCCACTGACACAATCATAAAACACATCTCACATCTGAAACTTCCATTTATTATCTGCTGTATATAACCTGCTCCAAAAAGTGCCAGTCTTCTGTGATGCCAACTGGATCCCCGAGCCACACCAGGTTGTCCGCACGGAGAGTGGTGAGTCCCAGGCTGTGCTGCCACTGTTTATCCACAGAGCAGAGCCCCTATGAGGGCCTGAGGGAAATAGTAGTCAGGCCAGAGGCTATTAAAGCTCTGATGGATTTTGACAGTAATTTCTTCATGAGTCCACAGCTCATGGGGCAGGCCAGTGGTAAGTTCGGGTGCCTGCTCTTGTCCATTAAAGCACGCAAACTGTGCCCACAAGTCCCACTCAATAGTATCTCTGTGCTCAGGGGGTTTGTTTGTGCTTGTGTGACGGAGCGAGGTGAGAAAAAAAAAAGGGTCAAAGAGTTGGGGATGGGGAGACCTTGCCAATTGTGCAAGCCAAAAAGTATGGACACTTTTCTTCAGCTACTCCATCGGTTTGGGCAAGAATCCAACCCACCATGTGAACACATAACCATACCTTGACCTACAGCCAACTCGTAAAAGGCGTTTATGTGTATCTCAACCAAAACGGAGAAGAAATCATAGATGACAAGACTTGAGCTTTGTGGGCGAAGTAGAAATCCCAGATTTAAGTTGACAAGAGGTTTGAGGACATGCTGCTGAGAGGTAATAAAAAAAAAAACAAACAAAAAAAAAAAACAAAACCCCAAAACAATCAGATGTTGCAAGCAGCCACAGCCCATTGTTGGATTACATGTCTGTTTGGAAATGGCAAATTTGGTTCTGGGCATTGAGATTAACGAGAAATTCAACTGGAAACATTGCACAATGATCAACCAGTTGGAACGTTAATTACATTCATCAATCACCTTAAGAACACTTGATTTGTCTCCATATTTGCGATGAAGAGCTAAAATATTCAAACATGTAATTGGATTTTTGTTTTGTTTTGTTTTGTTTTGTGGCCGGAGAAAGTTCTTAAGAAGGCCATAGGTTATTGATAATTAATCCCTCATCTCAGTCCAAATCTCTGCGGAGTGATTTTAACCAGACTATTGCGTCGGATTATTCACAGAGGAGACTAATCTTTTAATCATAAATTAGATGAATTAACAGGTCAGTCTGAGGTCACTGACTCACCTATAGAAGACTTTTTGTGTGAAAAGCCACAGTTTAACACTTAGTAGCCTCACAAAATCAGGCTGGAACAATGTACCACAGTGTAATATGTCATGACTGCTGTGAGCTGACTGTTATTCTTCAAGAAAGAGTCCATTCAACTACTTGCATGTAAGTAAATCTTATGCAAATACACATTTTCGCGCACACACGCTGGGTCGTGCATCGTATTTTCAATGGGCACTTATTACTCGACTGGGATTGGTCCATCCATCTATCATCACTTTACAACGGAAACCTATGATGAGCACAAAAATAACGACCGTCCATTTTTTCCAATTCTAAAATGTCGCCTTGGGGGATTTGGCAAGTTGTCGGAAAGTAGGATGATACACGACCTTTGCTATGTATGACTAACGCTTGGCATCTTAGGACTGTGTCAACAAGGTGTTTTATTGAATAGAACACACATGGCAACAAAAAACATAGCAATTATGTTGCATACGTACGTACATAAATCAAGAACTCTAATTGGATTAGATTGTCACACACACACACACACACACACACACACACACACACACACACACACACACACACATAACATTATTTATTTAGCAGTCAGACAGACACGTATAAAAACTAAATGTATAAAACAGGTCTTTATTTCTAATAAACAAGAATACATAGGAATCTGTAGCATGTTTCTCATGGTTAGTGTTTGAAACAAGCTGCCATTAATGACACAGGAAAAGATACTACGTTCTAAATGAATAGGTGTCGTCTGCGAGAAAACTATCCACACATCAGATTTATAGTCATCAACACAAGAGGAAAAGTCCACATAGAAAGGGGCACAACATGAAACATCCAACATGACAACTTAGACACTCAAAGTACACATACATTGTATGTGCTAATAATTTTTGCTGGTCGGGACACACAAAAAAAAAAAAGCTAACTAAAACATTCACAGATTCAGCAGTCTGTTTAAATACCTTATTTCTACAAAGTGAATTTACATTTTCCTTAAAGTACAAAGTGCAAATACTACGGTTTTTGTTTTTGCCGAATGGTGAGGGCAGAATGTCCATGTGGAAGCGGGATCCTCACTTGCTGTTTTAGCCTTGTTTCTTCGAGGGGTGCTGAGGAGAGCAAACATAAGTCACATTAGTTTGGTGCATGTGTTTTTTTGTAGTAAGATTTGTTTGTATGCTCTCTCTACTTCTGACTAATCTGTCAACAATCTCTCATATAGTTGTAGTCCGATGAAAGAAATGTACTATATCTCTACAATCTGTCAGTTTTGTTATTTTTGGCAAAATGTGATAATTTTCCTGAACTGCCGGTGTATTTCCGGGCCAGTCCTGTGCATCACGGCCGTCCAACCAGAAGTAGGCAGAGCGGATTGTTCAGTAACCAAAGAGTCCGCTGTTTGAATCCCACTCTGTCTGAGTCATGTGTCGTGGTGGTTAATATATAGTTTACCCCTACCAGAGTGTGAATGCGCAAGTACTACAATATCAATTGTGTGCCCATTGAGTGTGTGACGGAAAAGTGACATATAAATCAGATGCATTATGATTATTATTTTTATAAAAACTGGCATGTACTGTAAAAAATACAGTTATCCCACTGCCATGTATTGCAATCCACAATACAGTCGTATACTGTTAAAATAAATAAAAGTGATGCTGTTTTATTTTGGTAATATGCTATAGTTCAAAATACAGCACTAGATTAGAATAGATGCATTGTAAAATAAAATACTGCCGTCTCTAATTTATTGTTGCTTTACAGAGAAATTCTTTACAGTGTGTGTTTATGTCAGGCGGTTCCATATAATTGCATTGAGTAAGCTTATTTAGCACAATACTAAGTTGATCCAACCGTAACCTTCAAGTGTAAAGGACAGTGAAAAAAATAGTGTGTTGAATTTACTGTTATTTTGTCAAGTGACTACACACAATAGAATCATCTGGATTGAGATACTTTTAGTACACATACGGTATTTTTAAAAAGATGTAGTCGACTTAGAAAATGTATGTAGATCCAGATGATTTTATTTCATGCAACCACTTCACCAAATAAAATTTAGTAAATTCAATACACCATTTTTTTCAGTGTAATGTAATGTTTGGGTCAAAAGAAAATATATATTTTTTAAACTAAAAGATGAACATTCTTCACTGAAATAACAATATCTGATTGACAAACTATGGTTCTGAAGGTAATTTTTTTTTGGCCTGCCTTCGGATGATTTGTGAAACTAATTTACACTGTATGTAAGGTCACTGAATGGATTATATAAAAAAATAACCAAGTGTTGCTGGAAAGCCGAAAAAATGGTGAGGGTTAGTCTAGGGTGGGGATTGGAAGCGGGGCGGGGGGGACCGAAGGAATAGTTGACTTACAAGTCTACTGGGAGATAAGCCTTCTCCTGTTTTGGCCCCTGAAAGACACAGAGTGACAGGAACTTTAAATGGCATTTGTAAGGAGGAAATACTGAGGCTGGATTCACATCAAATCCTTCCGTCTGCACAAAGTACAAATTGACCCTTCCTTAACCTCCAGTCCCCTTGGTTACCGTTGCTAGGCCTATAAGGCTTATCGCACTGAATTACGTGGCGGTATTTCTAAACTCACCTTCTTCCTTGGTTACCCCCAAGCAGCCCATCAGCTCCTGCAGGGACAGTGCTTTGTCATTGCTGATGTCGCAATACTCCACAAACTTCTTGACACACTTCTTGGGCTTGGATTTTTTGCGCAGGAAGCGTTTGAATGGCTTGATCTCCTTCTTTCCAATGTCGCCGCTGGAGTTTTTATCCAGCTGACCAAAATACCAGTGGACCACCCTCTCCTCTAGTGTGTGGTTGGGGTCAGGCTCCACCACCCTAGAAGATAAAATCAGCAGACTGGTATCGAGCATCCCACCTTTGCTAGCCAGCTATAAGGCAGTAATTAGTTCGGGTCTTTACAGTGGAATCTTTAAAGTTGAGTTATAGAGAGTTGAGCTACCGAAAAATGTTCGGTCCAAAAGAGGGTCCATGAAAAAAAGAGTCAAAGAAGAGCCACCGCTCTTCCCATCTTTAGCTGTGTGTGTGTTTTTTGCTGTTGTTTTAGTGAGGTTGTTTTTCTTGTGTGTGTGAGAATTATTAGTGTGTGAGGGTATTTTTGTGGTAGTTATTGTGTGTAAGAGAGTTGTTTTGATGAGGTTGAGAGATTTTTTTTTTTTTTTGGTTAGTGTGACTTTTTATGACGTGTGTCAGGGATTTTTTTGGCTTGAGTCAGAGTTATTTTTCTGTGTATGAGAGGGATTTTGGTGCTGTTTTGGAAAGAGGGTTTATGGTGAATATGAACACTTTAATATGTAAAAGAGGATGTTGCTGATGTTGTTGTTGTTTGTGTGTGTGTGTGTGTGTGTGTGTGTGTGTGTGTGTGTGTGTGTGTGTGTGTGTGTGTGTGTGTGTGTGTGCGTGTGTGTGTGTGTGTGAGAGATAAATGTTATTTTTGGTTTGTATGGCACTTTCAATTTGCAATGGTCCTGACATGCAACACTTAGCTGGGTCGAATATCACTAAGTATAAGAATACATCGTCATGTGGCATAAGAAGACATGCCCAGGTACTGCTCCACCTTCTGTTTTTCATTTGATTGTTACATATTTATAACCTAGAATTATTTTTATTCAAATTTGTACTGTTATTCTGAATTTACAACCACATGAGCATAGGTTAGGGATAGATGTTCTGACGTACGTACGAACTTAGGTTAATTCAGCTTCATAAGGGACCGAGGACCCTCTGTATAGGTACTAAAGGTTTTTGTTTCACCCTGCAACAGATTACTGTATTATACTGTATATATACAGTATATATGACATGTTTCAAAATCAGTTGATTGGTGTCTTGGAACAAGGCAGTTTTTCGAACGAAGAGGTTCCACTCTAACTTATTTGATGAGAGCACGAAATTACATTGGGAAGGATTAAGTCATGAAAAAACAGCATACTTTCCGGCAGATGCTGGATCTGTGACGGCGTGAACCATGTCTGTCGACAGCGCATCAAGAACACTTGTCAGAAATTCAGTTTTCTTTGCACCGGGACAGCCTGGAAAACAAGGTAACTGGATGAGTGTGCAAGCTTGGAAATCATGCAGTGGATACAGAATCAGGTGCGTGGATCTCAACAAACACAGAAACTGATCCCACTCGTCAACAACATTCGAATGTGGAATGTTGCCGTCATAGGTGGCCCAATAAATGTTTGGGGCAGGACGTCATGTAATAGGAAACGTGGTTTTCGCGCATAAGACAGTAGAGGGGGAAAAAAAACAGCAAGACATCTGTCACAGTTGTCTTTAAGACCTTCCCATAAAGTGTCAGACCCTCATCTGGAGGAGGGAGAGGATACCTGCCAATCATTCAAGAGGCCCCTGAGTGGTTTTGACAGCTGGACACTGAAGATGTTCCTAAAAATTGGATGTATATGTCCACCTGAGACATCAGTAGACCAAACATAGTCTGGAGTGAGCCAACTACTGATGGACATACTAATGATGGAATCATGTCAAATGCCAACTAAGAAGAAACTCACAGACTAGTCCACAAAGATAAAAAAAGGACAATCCTAGCTGAAGAAAAAAAAACCCCGGGAACAATTAAAATGGACCTGGGGTGGAATAACCCTAATGAGAGTAATTGTCTGTTTGGCCATATAATTTAAAGAGCGAGGCCAATAGGTTATTGTGGGAGAGCTGAAGGCGAGAGAGTTCTAAAAAAAATTCCTGAATTTTTCTTCCGACTCTCTTGTTTCTCACAGTCTGATTCCCCTCTGCTTTTCCACTTCTACTCTTTTCACAGCTCAGGCCTGCGGGGCCAGTTTCTCTCCCGCGCTGGAGATAATAGCATGCTTTGGCCCTCTATAACAGGTGGCGACTCAGCACCACGCCTCCGCTCCACCTCTCCTAAATAGCGAGGCGACTTGGTCCTATAGGCTGGATAATACACATGCCCAAACTGTTCTTCTTTACACGCTGAGCATATTTGCATTCAAGGTCATTCAACCTCATGGCTCAAACCCAGCAAATTTTGTGACCTGTGCCTATTAGCCAAGAAAATGGTGCTGTTGTTGCAAATGCGTTGAGACACTCACACAATTACACTCTCAGAAGACAAAGTGTTTTTTTTTTTTTTGTGGCTTGGGAAAACAGTTTTACTCTATTGCTGCAGAAATAAAGTGCAGATCATCATTTAAAACTCTGCCTCTATTGGCAGCAGATGTCTGGCTACCACTACCTAAGGAGATGTCTTTCACATAAAATCTCAGTTTGTTTTTATGATTGTACCTTAATGCTCATGTTTGACAGCTCAAGTCAAGAAGGCATCAAATCATGAGATTATTTCTTGCGTCTGTTCCAATGCCTCCATTTATCAAGCTGCTGCGTGCTGCAAAAGGTTGGCCAATAAGTGCATGTGTGTACCCGTGCGTTGCTTTCAATGAAAAGCAATGTTATTTTATGGAACCACATGGGGCACAGTCCTGTCAGCACTCACATCAGCAGCTCCCAGTGCTTGCCCAAAAAGTGTGGAGAGAAAGAAAGTCAAATACACTACTTTTCACTCCAACTCCTTTTTTTGCATCTCGCCCCATAAACCTTTCAACGCCAGCGCTTCGACAGCGACTGGACTGAAGGCAACATTCGTAATCATGGCTGGTTTATACAGTAACCAGGTTTACAACCACTGACGCAATTCTTATAAAGAAAATAAGATGCGGGCGATTTATTTATTTATTTTTTTACACTGCCCAGGTGTAGTTCAAAATGGGGGTTTGGTGCATGTTTTCTGTCGACCAGCATGAAGTATGTTCGTAAATGTTTTGCTTCATCTGATACAACAAATATACTTGAATTTTATGTCCTGTTTCGCAACGCTTCACACACAGTGCGGCTCATCTGGCAAACATCAACAAAGATGAGTAATATTTGCTGACGTATGCAGTTTTCATCAATGACAACCCGTAACACTCTTTGGCACCGCAACTCATATGTGAGCAGAGCCAGAGTTGCACTGCTGCTAAAATGCAGCACCTGTGTGCCTGTCTGGTCTGGAGCACGGCTGCATAAACACTTGGACAGGAGAAGAACAGTAGAAGCTCTGTGCATTCGCTTGTGGATTATTAACATGTTTACCAAACTACCCGAAAAAAAAAAAAAAAAGAGAGAGAAAGAAACTTCCACAGTGCCAAACGCCTTAAAGTATGATTTAGTTGTATGCACCTGAAAGCTATAATTGCTGCACTTTGTCCGCAATTTATGTGGTGTCTTGGAGGATACGATTAAATACAGCAAAATGCTTTCCAATTTATGGAAAGCATAATGGAATCTGGCCAAACATAACAAATCATGATTGGAAGTGGTTGAGCGATAATGTTTATGCACACATCCATCAGTGTGAAGAGAACATTATCCTACATCAATTTGCATGCGCTCTCTGCTGCACCTTATAATCGGGCATTTTCTGCAGTACACATATCTTATTATGGAGGATGAAAAATGTATACCCCCATGTGACACGGTGACATCTATGCAAGATAAAAGGATCAACTATGTGGAGAACTTTAAAAAAAATCTATGACTGGAGCACGGCTGCATAAACACTTGGACAGGAGAAGAACAGTAGAAGCTCTGTGCATTCGCTTGTGGATTTTTAACATGTTTACCAAACTACCCGAAAAAAAAAAAAAAAAAGAGAGAGAAAGAAACTTCCACAGTGCCAAACGCCTTAAAGTATGATTTAGTTGTATGCACCTGAAAGCTATAATTGCTGCACTTTGTCCGCAATTTATGTGGTGTCTTGGAGGATACGATTAAATACAGCAAAATGCTTTCCAATTTATGGAAAGCATAATGGAATCTGGCCAAACATAACAAATCATGATTGGAAGTGGTTGAGCGATAATGTTTATGCACACATCCATCAGTGTGAAGAGAACATTATCCTACATCAATTTGCATGCGCTCTCTGCTGCACCTTATAATCGGGCATTTTCTGCAGTACACATATCTTATTATGGAGGATGAAAAATGTATACCCCCATGTGACACGGTGACATCTATGCAAGATAAAAGGATCAACTATGTGGAGAACTTTAAAAAAAATCTATGAAAACAGACTACCTGACCTAAAAACAAAACATGTATATTTCAGAAACCTCATTGGCCTTTCCCAGATGACTGGATGAGAGCCAAGGTGCGCACGGGGACTGTATACTACGGCCCGTAGGGCATATATAGACACAATCACAACAAAATTAACAATCATTCACACTCCCGTTCACACCTACAGTATGGACATTTTTGAGAATTTAATTAACCTAATTTGCATGTTTTCTGACAGTGGAAGGAAGCTGAAGTATCATGAGAAAATCTATTTATTAATTTAGGGCAGATGTGGCATAAACCTTATATTCAGTGGTGGTTTAATAATATTGTTAAGCACTCTGCAGCCCAACGTGGGCCTTTCTACAGGAGCCAAAAGGCTGCTCTTGAGTACCTGTCATGCTAAATACTGATTTCTAAATATGAACTACTTTCCACTCCAAGAAATCTTGATTTTAGCAAACAAAGTGAAAACTACTTATGAAGTGGGTCTAAATAGTAGGAGGAACAATCAAGTCTAGGGGTAAGCTTCATTATAATGGGTTATCCATTGTGCACAGATTGTCAAACTTAGCAAGTAAGCCACCCTGATAATTTGCTTGAACCTCATATTCACCTTTAATTGCGTTATCTATGCTGCTGCCAAGATCTATATCGCTGCCTATTCCTGACATCCCATGATTCATTACCTCCAGGTCTCTCGCCTGCTGCTTCCCCTCATCTCCTATCTACCCTCATCCCGCTATCCTCCATCTCCACATGTCAGTGTCGATGATTCCCCACCAATCCGTCTCTGTCTCCTGGCTAACTGGCCATGGAAGGGCAGTATCTGGCAATCCTCAAGTCTTTATCAAGAACTTCCTTGACCAACACTGCTAATGATATCAGCAAACACACACACTTCCATTGTTATCACAACCTTGGGAGGGTGGCAGCAGTTGGAGCCCAATGACTGAAGAACTTCCCCATGTGGTCTGAGCAGAGAAGAAAAACAAAAACTGAGTCCATTCGCCTGCGAGGCGTACCTTGAAGATGTCTGCTTCTGTAATGGTCCTTTGGTTTCGTTGGATGAGCCCTCGCGTTGCCATCGCACTTTGGCTGCTCATACCTTGAAAGACACAAGTTAATCATATGGCATTTCACTCAATGTGAATCGGACCACAGAGGCAGTTTGCAACAGTGAAATTTGCAATAAATCTATGAGATTAAAATAGTTGTGGAAAAACGGAGGCCCTGACACGCATCCAAATAAGGGGGGATGATTTGGCGTCTGGTGTGAGGACAGTAAGGGTGACAAGGAAACATTTAGAAGAAGAGAGGCTGACAGGGAGCGTGGGACACAAGTAAGCTTTCACAGCTTCCCTTCGGAGAGCCAGAGCCCCACTCAGGCTGCTCTACTAGTGGGCCAAAAGTCGGCCTGGGACAAGTCAAGAGAAGTGTCACAATCCATACTTCCGTGTGTGCTAATGTACTCCCTGGCCTTTTGCCTGGATACTTGTTAATCTGATAAAAAACCATGTGTACCAGTACCAAGTGCACCAGTGCCACACACTGCCAGTCTGAATGATGTCTTTCTCATCGCCCACAGAGATGCTACATCAAGCAAGCGCAAAGGCAAGAAATGTTTTTCCCCATCATTGTTTGTTGGTGTCTCAGTTAGTTAGCAGCATTATGCGAACAACACAACCAAATACACCAAAACTTGGTGAAGGGGTGCATGGCCGTATGGGAGGGCGGGGGAAGTATCAATGTGGGCGGTGAACCCATCCCCACCCCACCAACGTGGCTGAATAATTTGAGAGGTTTGTCTGGTTGAATGGGCATCCGCTTTTGATCAACGGGGGAAGAGGCAGCTGGGGGCAGCTGCCAGCTTAATTTCATTTCCATTCAGTTCAATGAGAGATATTACTTAGCCACAGAACAGATTAATTTGTTCAATGAAGCTCTGCTGTATAGCAAATCCAAAACTGGGTTGAAGTTATAACTTGAGTTTTGTAAGGAAGGGAGTTTCAGTCTGGGTTAAGTCATTAGACATAGTCAGGGCCTAAGCCATAAGAGGATCTAAATTAGTTCTTCACTCAATATAAAACAAAAAAACAAAAACAAAACAATGCAAAGCAAAGAGGAACTCAGTTGTAACAATTCAGTCCGTTCTTAAGGCAGTCTGTCGTACCTGGTGGAGGTACCAGGTATGGGCCGTCCAGTGTCCACCAGGACACACCAACAGTAGCCAGTAGAGGGATGGCACTGGACTGGCTTGTACAATCCGCCTTGGCCACAGTCCGGAACAAACACAGCGTCGTTTTTGTGCTGCTTTGCTTCCTCTTGAGCAGACTGTTGCTCCTGGTCACACGATGAGGCTGGAGAGTGAGATCACAGTGGCATTACTTTCACACGAACACACTTTCATGTAATTGCAGGTTCACTTGGACGCAAAGGGTTGTTCAAAGCATGAATTTAGTCTAAAGCCAAACCACATCTGGTTGACACATTTTTAAACATAATGTAACAAAGTAAAACATAGAGTAGATAACTCTCTCGGTGCCAGTATTGGTGGAGAGAGGCTGTCAGAGTTGAGAAAGAGCGACGGATGAGTGCTCAGAGACAGGGTGTGTAGACTCCTATATCAGCCCCCTGTGGCACTGTTTACGGACATTAATGGGCTAATGACACACAAGCACAGCACCCCATGCCACAAGTTAAGTAAATATTTAAAAAGTCAGCCATCCTCCATGGATTTATATGACAGTGAGGGAAACAGACAAGACAAATATTCAAGCCTTGGTGTACTGGGCGTTCGCCTTCACACACCCACACATCTTCACACCTTACTGTAGTGCACTGTATAGCCGCAGGGGTCTTTATTTACATGTTCACAATTCCCAGAGAAAATGGAGTTCTTTGTTGTGTTTTATGCTTTCCGACAGAAATATCTGATGGTCTCAAACAGGATAAGAGATGGGTTTCTTGCAAAGCCCCAGCAGGATCTCATCTGTTGTGAAGATATTCAAGAGACATGTAGCATTAAACTCGGGGATGCAAGCTGATCCTTTGTGGCCAAGCGAGTTCCTTTTTTTTGATGATTCCTTCAAAGATCGGAAACAACGGCAGGATTATGGATATCCCTTTTCGTTGTTTATTTTATTAAGAAATCTTTGCACACACAAAAGAGGCTGAATGAAACGCCTCCCTGCGGACTCTCTTCGCTCCAGTACCTCCATATGGGCTCTCTTTGTTGGGCTGTTTTTCCTTCTTTCTCCATTCAATACCCCAAAGAGTCCACGTTAATCAAAACCATCATTTCAGCATTTGTCATGCTTTTTTTTTTTTTTATTGGTTTTAAATTATGATAATGGGATTCATACACAAATGCACTCATGCACACTGGCTTTTCAGCCTAGATGAATGTTTTGTGCAGGAAGAAACACAAATCCCCAAAGACGGAAAGGGTAACCGATCTGTGTGTTGAGATCAACGTGCAGCATGAGTCAAAGAACTGCACGGATCAAGCCAAAAAGAATAGGAGATCCTGTGTTTGTGCCATGTGCTGATAATTACGAATAGTCTGCAACAAAAAGAACCACAGTCCAACAGATCCCCAAAGCATTATGTACTCCCAACACCAAGATGTGCTGGCTTCATCCCCCCCGCCCCCCTCAATCCTCATAAGTATTGAGAAACAGCCACAAACCACGATTGCACTCTAAAGTCTGCAGGAAAACACAAAGCCTGCATTCAGTTGAGGTCTACAAACGCCCAATCATCATGGAAAAAAAGTTCAAACTCACATGGTGCTCTAGTTCTATTGTTTTGCCGGCTGCGGACCTGCTCCGTCCACAGAGTGGGGTACTGGGAAATGATGTCTGAAAGAAATCCATGACAGCTTTATTAGCATCAATTGAAAACACAGTCATATATCATTGGAGCCAACTGCTTCCAAAACTCACAGACTGTAAAAATCACATCAAGGTTGTCAGATCTTAAATTGCAAAAAGTCAACTGCATTTGACAGAGAAGGCTGGGAAATGGGAAAATTTGGGGTCGGTAAACTATGGACTGCGGCTGTGAGTGTCATTAAGTTAGATGATCGCGTCATTAGAATATGATACTTTCTTCAGACAATGAAGTTGAAATAACTCAAATAACTTGGGGACTGCAGTGATTGAAACAGTAGTTTCACTGCTACTGATTTTTTTTTTGGATGTGGAAGTTCCCACATGCAGCAATAAAAATAATTTGATTTAATAATGTTGACCATAACAAATTAGCACTTGCTATATCATGACACTGGTATAGCACTAATAGCCATAAAATCCACCCATTTTCAAAACTGCTTGTTGTAGGGTGGCGGAGGAGTTTGATCCCCTCCCATTTAAGACATGCCTGCATTTTTTGGCCCGAGGCCACCTTCCATCCATTAATCTATTTTCAACATTTGTTTACTCTCTAGTAATATAAAATACTGTACATATATAAACTACCAGTCACCCACCGAATGTGATGATGGATGATGAACAAGGGATGGATGAATGGGTGGCTAGAGACTCACCTTCTTCATCCGCAGGGGGTTGTGGATCCACCACTAAGCCAGTCTCATCTGCATTCAGAATGGAGAATATTTGCAAAGAGACTACCATTACAAGCGTAAACTAGAAAAAAGCGACACATGAATTTGTGAGATTTGCACGTTGCCCGGTCAAGAAGGCTGGAGGCAGATACAGAGGTGGAAAAAAAAAAAGAGTGTGTGTATGATGCAGAGAGAGAGAAATTTCAGTCGGGGAAGAATAAAAGATAGTGGTCATATACTCCCATGGGAATCATTGTTTTTAGAGACATAACAAATCGTTGCTGTCCTGTGAAAAACATGTATGTCCAATTTTTATTTATTTATTTATTTATTAAAAAATATTTTTTTGTACAAAAATGGACATATGTCTTTTTCACAGGGCAGCGACAAAATGTACCGAATGAATATAACGTGTCCAGTTGTCCTTGCTGTGCTTCTTATTCCAAGCATAAATAAAAGACACAAGTGTTGAAGAAGTGCCAAGTCAGAGAGAGAAACAACAAACTGTGGGAGAATTCAGCTCAATGTTTGTTTGGTGTGTGTTTGTTTGATTTGTGCTAAGAAGGGGACGGCGACGGAGGTTTGGAGTCTCTCGGGGTGAAGCCAAGGCCATAGGTGTGGTTAACCTCATTGTAGGTCACTTATTCTCCGAAAGTAAAGCTATTTGTGCGTGAGTCCGGACAACTCAAATGAATGGCTCCACAAACAAGGATTAAGGCTCAACGTTGTTCTTTTCAACAATGTCTTCTACATTGCAGGCGCTTCTTTGACATACCAGCCATTTATCTACTGGATTGGTGGATAAAACTACATAGTTGTGAACTGCAGCTTGGCGTAAGGGAATGAAATGCCATCTGAAAAAAAAAAGTATTGAGGATTTGGATTTATGATACACCACTAATAACCTATCTTGACTGTGCAGCCTTTTACATGACTGGAACACCTCTTTTTACATCTGCCAGGAAACCCCTGAGCAATTTGTGGTCTTACAGCATTAGATTTACTGCTGTTTGCCAGTCATAAGCCGCATATTGTTTCCAGCATGTGAATGAATTTGTCAAATTAAGCACCAGAGAAGACTTTATGGTGAAGCATTTTGTGTTTTAATGATGCTTCAATGACTTGACAATTAAAGTACTTCATGGAATGCTTTGGCATTAATGGGCTTCTGCGGGATGAACATATTGCTGCTATTACTGCTAGTTTCAGTGTGGACACACCACAAACGTACAGTTTATTCTGCTTTTTGACACACACTTTCCCAACTACTTCCTCCCCTTTCCCCATCATCACTTCCTCCTTCAAATGTTGCGGTCCCGCTCAATATAAATTACATTTCTGGTGAAAGCTCAGATGGACACCGTACCCAAGAGACAATCACACCCCCTTTAACAATTATATGCATACTTTGGTACACTGACAACGCTTAGGGTGAAGAGTAAGGTGTTAACTTTTCGTTGTATCGGAAAAATTCAGTACAACATAAATTTCAATTAGGGCAGTTGAGATGTCCGGTTAAATCGGGGGTCGGCAACACGCGGCTCCGGAGCCATATGAGGCTCTTTAGTGCCGCCTAGTGGCTCCCTGGAGCTTTTTAAAATGTTTGAAAATGGAAAAAGATGGGGCAGTGAAAATATATTTTTTGTTTGAATATGGTTTCTGTAGGAGGACAAGCATTCTTAACATTTTCCAATGCTGTAAAAATATGTCGGATATATATTACATTTCAACATTTCTGTCAATAAAGATTTGCATCATAGCCTACGACACACGTTTCTATTAGCAGGGCGGGATGCCAGGCAGGTGGCTGTTGTAAGAAGAAACGGCGTTTCATGTCCAATTCACAGAGGGAACTGGCAAAGAATGGCAATCTGAAGGACCGAGAGAAGCATTTTAAAACGGTACACGTCAGCTACGAAAGTTAACACGCTGCAAAAGTGAGTCCCGTGAGTATGCGTGCGTGTGCGGTCACGGGTCAATTGCGGGAGGCTGGTTGATCGAAAAATAGAGCTTTGGTCAAAAAGGTTTGGGCCCCCCTGCTCTACAGGATGCACTGCAGGGAAAAAAATATATTTGTATATTTGTAACCAACTTAGTCATTTTGATAGTAGGCTAATATAGCTAATATAGATACATACAGCGTGTGTTGCCTTCTTTCTGAGGCTTTTAATTTGTTGCGGCTCCAGACACATTTGTTTTTCGTTTTTTTGGTCCAATATGGCTCTTTCAACATTTTGGGTTGCCAACCCGTGGGTTAAATCAACATCATGGTTAAAAATAACATTAAAAAAAAAATCATCATCAGCATTGTCTGAAAACATCTTTGCTCATAATGTTTCACTCAGTTAACAGACTGTGTATCAGCCTTCAGGCCCTCTCAGGTTGATGAAGTAGTGGCAAGCCTTAACAGGCGACCAAAGCTGCACGACAAAGAAACAGACAAACAGACACATGCACGTACATGTTTTGAAAGGTGTACACGTGCACTTTGATACGCGAGTACATATATAGACTGTACTGTAAATGATGGTCTATTTAGCAGAGGTGGGTGAAAGTCACAAGTAAGTCTCAAGTCACCGTAAAATCAAGGAAGTCAGGTTGAGTCATGTCATTACTTGGTTCAAGCACATCCTAAGAAAAGGCAGATAATCTTAGTCACAACATGTGTTGGAGTGATAATATTGTTTCTGCCCCACTGGTCATATTACAAAAAGTACATTGTCTCTAAATAAACATTTCCATCTCTAAACAACTTTAAAAAAATGAATGTCTAGACTTCAATTATTGAGAAGAATGCTTTTTAATTTTTCATGTTAACATTATATGAGTTGCACACTGTTAATGTGATGATCTTCTTCTTCACCTTTCGGCACGTCCCTATTCAGGGGTCGCCACAGCGAGTCAGTAATTTCCATCCGCCCCTGTAAACCGTCCTACCAACTCGCATGGTCGTCTTGGCAAAAGTTTTTGTGGGAGACAACATGTATAATTGACAGATTTAAACACTACATATTGATGTCTCTACTTAAATAACGATTGGTCTACGTAATTTCAAGTGCTTTATTGGCTTCTCAATTAAATGTAGAGCTGACACAAAGCATTTGACCAGCTAATGGTGACCTAAACAGTTGAGCAAACGTATCTAGCCTAGGGTCACAGAGTTTACGTGCGTCAGACGGACGAAAGGAAACATTATTGATGTTTTTTCTTATCTTTACGTTTTTAAAAAAATATATTAATCTGAACGTTTTAATGCATGGGGATTTTATTTTAAAACATGAATGGTTAACTCTCCAAAAAGAGGTAACCTAAAAAAAAAAAAACATGGTGAGTAAGTGCATTCTTGGTGAGTTAAAACTAAGAATGGATGAGAAGGTGAGTCTCCTGAGAATGTAGAAAATCTGCAAATAACACACGTCTTTGTTTAAATTGAGGTTAAACCTGGAGGGAAAAAAACAACAACACAACCTTGACAACCGGGATGGCGCTATTCCTGGACTAGGGAATGCTGTAGCTCCGTCAGAAATCTGTGCAGTTCCAAGTAAGCACCTCCAGCTTTTTATTTGATATCCCAAAATATATTTATAAATTATTTTCACAGTGCCCCTCTGTATCGGTCAAGCCCCATTTTAACCCCGGGAGAGAAAAAAACATTCTGCAACCATGCCTGCTTGGCAATGACTTCTCACCTTTTCCTGGTTCTCTTGTGGTAGCTCGCTCTTGTTTTGACCCTAAAAAGCAACACCTTTCATTAAATTAAATACGTCCAAACACTCGTCAACAGGCACCATTGCACAAAAACTAAACCACGGTAAAAGGTAATAATACAGCACAGTACGGTGCCGTATTGTCTTGAAATTGCATGTGAATGATCGGCAGTTGCCTAAAATTTCACAAGAAAAGAAACATAATAAAGGCGTAATTAGTAGGAGAAATGGGGGTTGATTTAAATCAGCATTTCAAAGCTGCAATGATGCCTTGGCAGGATTTGACCCAGAATTGTTCGGGCCACCGTATTGACAAGTATGGTGGCCTTTCAGGGTAAAAGGGCTCCATTAGAAGTATGGAACTTGTTACCACAATACAATGTTTAAATTAAGATTGATTGCTGAAGGTGTGGCATCAGGTGAGTTAGCTTTTTTTGTTTATTTGTGTATTTATAATTGCTTTGCTGACTTTGGTGGCTGGCCATCTCTTTTTTGGGGGGAAGTTGTGCCCACCTTGACATCGAGGCTTTTTATTAGCCACAGCGGAGCCACTGATCGGTCGACCATTGGGAGTTACGCACCAACAGTATCCGGTGTAGCTGTGACATTGTACCTGTCAAGCAGTTAACACACAAATAGCAAGTTTTGCGATGAGATTATAGCGGATTTAATAAAGATGCTGAAATGTGAATAAAAGCTAGACAGCAACCACTGCTCACATCCGATAAGGTCACATTTATTTTGTTACCTCACTGTATGTGCCATCGGGGTTGCATACTGGTACAAAGACCTGAGGGAAAAGCTTCTTGGCTTGCTGCTCTGTGTACTTCTTCTCTGCTACGCATCTGGATGTATCTGAGGAAAACCACAAATCACCAAAATCACGACACATCACAGAGAGCCATGATGCGACCCACAGCTCGATTACTTTCTCATGCTGCGCAGCTGCAGGCCCAGTATTTTTAAAAAGTCAAGATGCTGAATCGCATGCATCATGATGAAATTAAAAAAAAAAATGAAACAAAGGGTGTTGCAAGAAGGGGGACTAATATTTCAAGACATTTCAGAAGCAGCATATCACATGGTTGTGTGGCTGGGATTAGAACCAACACTTCTTCTCGTCTTATTAGGAGCACGCCAGGCTGGTCTTCGTGGTGCCTGATGGTAAAGTAATTACGGAAGGAGACGTCTTGTGCTGCTTCTACAGAGCATTCCAGTCAATGGAGAAAAGGGCTGACAATGCAAAAGGCAAAGCTAAACCTTCCTCAGTCTGTCTCTTGCCATCTCATCATGTACCCAGTTGAAGGGTTGTAAATAGAAATGCACATTTGCGAGTGTTTACTCGTGTCCTTTAGGGCAGTGATTTCCAACCAGTGTGCCGGGCCCGGCATATTAGTGTGCCGTGAGAGCGCTCACTGTTTCCCACGGGAAATGATTACATTTTACTTAATTGGTGAGAAAATTATTTATGACAGAAAGAACAAATAAAATGATCTTCTATTAGATGGCAAAAAGTATGAAATTGACATATGTATCGTATCGTCTTTTGGTGAGAATTTTGTTTGGCGGTGTGCCGTCCGACTTTTTTAAACTTAAAAAATGTACCTTGGCTCAATAAAAATTGGGAATCACTGTTCTTTCAAGCCCAATCATATCAAAAATTACAGTGAGAAAACAATGAATCCTCATAATGCCATAGTTTTGTTAAAAATGAGCTGGAAAATTTAACTTAGTGTCTTGCAATGCAATTGCCATCAAAGTAATTACACAGAAAAGGAAATGAAGGTGGGATCAAATTTCAAAAACTGCCCAAAAATATTATTTTTTAATTTACTAAACTTCCTATGGTTAACTGATGACTAGTCCAGTTTGAGCCCAGCCTCTCGCCCAGTCAGCCGAGATAGACTTCAGCTGACCCACGAACCTGATGAGGATAAGCGGTAGAGAAAATGGATGGATGAATCATGCTTCCCTGCAAAAATAGTCAATGCACACCTAATGGAATTAATGAGTGTCAAAGACAACAGAGCGCACGGGGTCAGGTAGATCACAGGTGTCAAATTCAAGGCCCGAGAGCCAGATCCAGCTCGATACATTATTTTATGTGGCCCACGAAAGTAAACCATGTGTCTCCACTTGAAGTTAGCAATCTAGAAATCTGTCGCAAAATTTTAAATTCTTTCATATGATAATTAATAATATTGAGATTGTGCAAGAATTTTCTCGTACCCATTTTACAATAACTCAAACAATAACTGGATAAACGACTATGCTTGACTTCAAAATGAGTAATCTATCAATTTGTGGTGTATTATGTAACAATGAGAGGTTTGGTTTCAGTGTCATAACGGCCCTCCAAGGGAAGCCCGAAGCACAAAGTGGCCTGCGACAAAAATGATTTGACACCCCTGCTGGAGAGAAAGCAGTAATTGTGCAGTGCATTCTGATACTTGTAGGATCAGCGGTACCTTTATTTTATATTGGCAATCCACTTCTGTGAAACATCATTTTGACTGGGGTTTTACATGAGCTGGAGCTTATCTCAGCTGACTTTGGGCAAGAGGCGGGCCGCACCCTGGACTAGTCACGATGTGGATGCACTCCACACCGGAAAGCCAGAACCCAGAGAGCTGTGAGGCAGATATGCTAACCACATCGTCCACCATGCTTCCCCACTTCCTATAAATGTCTGAACATTATTTGTTTGAACAGGTCAACAATAAAAGGTATCAAATATACAGTAATTGATATTATTGCGAACAATGATTTAAATGGCATAAAAACAGCTATGACTTCAACTCATCTTCATGGCCAATTGCACCATCTGTTTAAACTCTCAGTGTCGCCTCAATGGTAACTTGGTGTGACACACAGTGCCCGTCTGTCTGGCAGGTTCGTAGCCCTTCAAAACAATGACTCACGCAACGCTTGAAAAATGTACCCATTTGGTCACACGGCTGAAAGTTATTGGCTTGGCTTACGCAGCCAATATGGATCATCCAATTGACGCACAAAGTAGAGCGTGCTAGTTTTTCTTTGTCTTGCGTGTCTGCATGGGTGTCACTGCCACTGGTGAAGGGAAAGGTGACGGAGGCAAACTGGGAAATAAGGAGCTATAAAGTTAGATTTACTGGAAAATCTCAAAACCTTCATCCTTCTCCGAGGGGGCTTTAACTTAAAAGGGCGTCGTGGAAAAAATGACAGGACCCTTGATTCATTCCAGCTCAGTTATAGAAAACAAATTCTAACTATCTTTGTGCTTTTAGACCAGATGAGCCCTCTGTCTCATTTCGGCTTCGAATGTGAATGCAGCTCCTGCTCCTTTCACCCCTGACATCCAGAAGCAGAGGGGGGTCCAAACTCTAAGAGACTCAAAGTTTTTGACACATACAATACGACTTTCATGGACTTTCGTCCCTTTCAGCTTCCTAGCTGGAATCCTCTATTCTGTGTGCCGGCACGGTCCTCTACATCCAGATGTCTGCTCAGAGATGTTGCCATAGAGACCCAGAGAGGCCAAACAATTTGGGGAAAATGCTGCTCGATCAAACAAGACCTTTCTTTATCTCAACAACCACGTTCACTCGCACAGGCTCTCATGGTAATGCGTCAGAAAGCACAATTAACTAGCAGGATAATATGGGCGGAGCAACACTGGGGAGCTTCAGTTCCTCCTTAGCAGCAATGAGGGTTTCTGTGGGAATGCTCCAACCCCACTGCTTTTGTCCTGACTCGCCAGTTTTATATTCATTACGGACACAACATTAAGACTCATACACCAACAAGCGGTAACCCCCCCCACCCCCCCCGCCCCCCACACACACAAATTGATCAACTAAACGATTATATGAGGTGTCTCCAACAAAGCAGATCTGAAACTCTTAACCACACAGTACTGTGTATAGGATGTCACGTACTGTACACAGTATGTTAACAGACGCAGAAAAATAAAGCAACTCTGTACATGTCCATCCAATGCCTAAGTGAGCCCATAAAGCAGGCAGCAAAGCCTCCCACACACTCTCACCATGTCAACTCCACTTGTCCTCCCAGCACTCAAAAAATCAATTATGCTGAAATGAATTTAACCCAGAAGTCTCTCCTGTGACCCCGTCCGCGCATTTGAGAGCATCAGGTGGTGATGAAGCGTGACTCATGACCTGACCTTTGCATGGCCCTCGGATGACCTCCAGCTGGGGGTCGCGGCACTTGGCTCGAAGGAACTCGCAGCGAGATGTGAAGGTCCTGCCGTCCGAGGCGCACAAGGGTTTGCGAGGAGCTCTGCTACATTCCATGTCGCACTCCTTATCCTGATCCACCCGCAGGAACTGTCGCAAGGAGAAAAGAGATAAGCCGAGGAAACTGTTGCAAGATGTTTTATTTCTGGGAATCAGCAAGCGTTACATCAAAAGATTTCCAAACTATTAAATTAAACTCTGAAAGGACTTTAGATGTGGGGAGTTTTTACAAACAGATTAAAATGGGATTTGTGGTCAACTTGATATATTTGAGAAATTATATTCTGAGCTGTCAGGCAGGGAGGTTGGCTGACAATATGTGCACCGCATTTTGCCATTCCTTTGCCTGGCTGTGTGAGAAAAATTGGTTCTGCTTTAAGGTTAGTTGTGTTTGCTTATTTCTCCAAATCAGCAAAGATTTAGTTTTCCTTTCAAAAGTGTCCAAATATGCAAACAGTGTGACAGCAAAAGGAAAAGCTTTGTATTTTACTTTGATGTTTGTGACATGGTGGTCGATTTGTGAGCACATATGCCTCGGAGGTCACACATTCAAATGTGAGCTCCGGCCTTCCTGAGTAATGTTAGCATGTTGTTCTCGTGCCTGCGTGGGTTTGTTTCGGGTACTCCGGTTTCCTCCCACAATCCAAAAACATGCATGGTAACTTAAGTGAAAACTCTAAATTGTCCATAGCAGTAAATGCCACTGTGAATGGATGAATGTCTATTTGTGCCCTGCGATTGGCTGGTGACCAGTTCAGGGACCAAATTTCTCGCCCAAAATCTGCTGGGTTAGGCTTCGGCTAATCCATTGTTCTAATGAAAACAACAGAAAATGCATGGATGCATGTTTGTGACATGTGGTGTATAATCGGGACTTTTACTTATCAAGATTGCACGTATTCCGCTCCTTGTTTAGCGCAAGAAGTAGCACAACGAGACCACCATATCCAATTCATTGAATTGGAACACTAATTCTTACTGATACTGTGAGTACTTATTGTACATAATAAATTTAGTATGTGAGTATCTGTCATGGAGTATATCTTTCCAAATATCGTTTAGACATGAATCGTCTACGGTATTATTAGTGGTGGTAGTCACTCGTATTATAAGATTTCTAAAATGATTTTAGATACTTCGCCAAAAGACACAAACAAGTCATCTGAGGCAATGTCAACTCCTGGAGAAAATGCAACTCAACGTCTATGCCAACAGCTGCACCTGGAGTCGCTCCCGAGGATGTTTTACTGAGCTATGAAAAGAGAAACATGACAACACAGACTCTTAGCTGAACGCATCGGATCACCTGTGTCAATGCCACCATTGTATCAGCCACCGTGGTATGAAAACCCCCTGGCCAAGCCACACAATAGGGCGGCGGTGGTGAAGGGGGTGGCAACCAAGTGTGACTGCTACAATGACTGAAGAGACAGTGGATGATAGAGTGGTTCAGTCAAACATATGTCAGGGATCTTTGTGTTGTGACAGTGTGAGAGTTTCATAAAGTTAACGTGATTCATCTTCTCCAAAGGAGTTATGACGTGAGTTAAGGCAGGGAGAAACAACATGCAGCTAAATGGTTTCAGGCATATTCCTTGATACGTTTCTTCAGAAAACTGCTTGTCATAAGTCTGCTTTTATGATGCAAATATTTGCACGCAAAAGTACTTTTCTATTTTGTTGAGTTTAAAACGGAAGCCATTAGATGTGTACAATACACTCTTTCAGTCCTTCTTTGAACATAGGGGTTCTCGTGTCTTAAATTGATCGTGAAGTTCCAAAGGAGCATGGCACGGCATGGAGCCAGAACAAATGACACGCACAAGCCTGAAGAGGGTGGGATGAACAGCAATAAAACAAATTTGTTGCGTCTGATGTCTTAAAAATCAATTGAGGGATGGTGTTTGGTGGCAGCCTCCTGTGTTCAGACGAGCAAGGCTGCAGGGCTGCACTGCACCTGGAAGGGGGTTGGCAGGGAGGGAGGGGGCAACGTCGCCCTGGGCTGGGAGTGTGGGGGGGGTCCAGGTGGGGGTAGAGCCCATCCTGTCAACCTGGGTCATAAATCCTCCCAGAATGGAGAGGCCCGTGGACACACATCGGAAGAGGAGTTGTTATTGAAGTGATCGAATTAAAATGTTCCAAAACAATCATTTTTTTTCAGCCCTTGAGAAACATGCTTGTGTTCCTTTTTTTTTCCAAAGCAAAAAAAATCATCAAGAGTAGTTGACGAAATTAACTCATTCAGTACCAGCCAATTCTAGACCCCATTTTTTTTTTTTTTTTTACCCTAAGTCTTGGAAAAATTGAAAAAAAAAGTATCTGGGGTTGAACGTGTGGAGTGTGAAATATGTCTTTGGGAGTGAATGAGTTAATACTAATGATAAAGAACAGGCGAGGCATTTGCTTCATGAGTACACATGACTCGGCGCTCATCTGTCAGCACTTAACCAATACAGAGAGAACCAGCTTTTCTTCCTTGTTAGCAATAACCGAAATAAAAGTCACTACTGTACTTCAGCGGGAAAAAAGAGCCGAGTGTGAATTGTAGGATGGCTTTAGATTACTACAACTGTTCCAGGCCTCCATGTACACTTGCACATTCTAGTGCGATGATTCCCGACCACTGTGCCATGGCACAGTGTGCAGCGAGAGATCATCAGGTGTGCTATGGGAAATGATCCAATTTCACTTAAATATACCAGATTTTTCTTCAATCAGCTATATTTCAGCACGTATCATTTTTGTGACTTTTGGGTTGGGCGCCATGAGATTTTTGTAATATAAAATGAATCCACAACAAGAAGAAGCACATTGTTAAAGTATAACTCTCCGAGCAATTTGCTTTCAGCAAAGATGGCCAGCAAAATAAAATAAAAAAATGTTTGATGGAAGAGTAAAAAATTCAGTTGATTGTGTGGAATTGATTGATTAATCACTGTCTTGAAGGGGAAGTCAACCCCAAAATGTTGTATGCAGCCGCACGGGTCTAAATTCGGCATTCTGATTAATATTGCGTATCTGGAACATGAGTTAAGCAGTAAAATCCACCTGGTTTTGTGCATCTCAGGGGACGGCCATTTTGCCACTTGCTGTTGACTGAAAATGACATCAGAGTTGCTCAGGACTCAGGTAACAACCAATCGCTCATCTGTTTTTTGAGTTTGGTCATGTGACATTCACAAGCTGAGCCATTATTGCACGTTACTTCTGCTGCCGGCTAGTTATTAGCAGCTAAACTGCTAATGTTGCAGGCTGTGCAAACTCTGCTCGAATTTTCATGCTTTCCACTTCAACACCTGGGTGCTACTTGTCGAAATGATTCAACAGGTTTGTTGTATTACCTTGCTCAACGACTTAATCTACTCCATGTCGGTCGGGAGATACGGCCACACAATCAATGTGAATGAACGTCTCTTGTTAAAATAGCTTCATCTTCGGACGCTTACGCCAAGTCATGGTTGCCCATCAGCTGTGCATTTAGCTACACGTTTAGGCATTGTTACAATTACTTTCTGCTTACTGCTTCTTCTTTGATTTATTGGCAGATTCTGTTTACTTCAACTTGCAAACCAAAGTTAGAAGTAAAAGCTGGGCTCTAATAGGCTGCAGTCACGTACATTTCCGCCATGTCTGATGGATTAAATATGCTCACAGCTCGCAGCTGTGCTGAAAAATAATGTGAGTTTTCTGGACACATTTTGTGCCTTCCAGCTTAGTTTTATTTTATTTGTTTTCATACATACATTTGTCCTGCTACTACAATTGAGAACCAGTCATCGAAGACACAACATGATGAACAAAAAAAACAAGTGATTCATTGTCTCTTAATTTCCCCACAGTCGATCAAGGAAAGAAAGTGAAATGTCCTTTCCCAAATTTAAGTACATTGAAAGTAAGAAAAAGCCTTTTCTCAAAGGTATGCACATTTAAAGTGAGACTAACAACATTGTTTTCTATCTTTTAACAGAATTCTACATTCAATATATCCTAGTTACACAATGGTGATTTTATAGTTCGCTCTCAACTGGTACATATCTTTAGCTTTTTTTGTGCGTGTTTAAAAAGGTGGTCAAACATTGCACTGCTCCACTTTTTCTCCTCTCCTGACATCTCACAAACAGTTTCACTCACAATTATTATCTATTTGGTAGTCCACATTCATCTTTTTTCCCCATCCTAACCAACAGATAAGGCAGACAGGTCAAGAAGAGAGTTTCTGCATGGGCTCCCCCCGAAAAAACAAACAAAAAAAAAACAGGTTTATTTCCAGCCATGCTATGATGGTGGGCTACAAGCCTTTCCGCAACTCTTGCTGGACACCCTTTTGCCTGATCAACACCACTATTGTCATTATCTCCCCATGCCAGCCAACAGCCTGACAGCCCAAACACATTCATTCATTAAAGTAACATCCTCCTTTAGGGCCACTGAGCAACACACAGCAAAGCGCCAAGTGTCTTTGAGTTTATGATAAAGCACCCCAAAACAGCAATAAGAACCTAGTGAGGCATGAAATCCACCGCCCAGAATCACTCTCAATGTTGAAAACACAGAGATAAATATCCTTCAGAGATATTTCCTCCCGTATGAACTTTTATTAAAGTGGCTCTTCAGATACAGATTTTTGTGCATTTGCCCAGTGATGATGGATGAGTGAGGCAGAACTATGCGGTTTCTCATTCCATCACCTCATGCATCAACACGAGAGTATGAAAGATTACCTTGAAGTTTGGCAGCACAGCTTCTTATGATTAATAATTAAATTCTTATTCATACTATACTTTCATTAACAGCTTTAAAGGCGACTCAATTTACAGAATTGCACAAATAATTTTCTTGTCCACATCCACATTACTTGATAACATACTTTCTCTAGGTTCTCACTTATTTGATAATCTCACATTTATTTTCATTAACGGTCTTACAAGTTGCCTTTTCCATCTACTACAATAGTACCAACAGATGGTAGAATATCAAGCGAGTCAAGAAAGGGCAAGACAGGTGGGGTGTCCAAGACCAACCAGCATAAAAATCAAATCCAATTATCTCTCCCGAGCTCTGCAGCATTGTGGTCATGAATGGCGTATGGAGGAGGCGAGACTCCAGCAGTGAGCATATTGTAGGCTCATCAGGGTCTTTCGGATTCAGGGGCCCTATCCTTCCAATGCCCCGAGAGGCCCCTCACACCACCGCCTCACAGGGTCAATGGGGTCCCCAGCTGAGAGTCGAGGTAAACGTGTTAAATGGCCTTGGCGGGAGTTTCCTGCGTGATCGGTCGGATGCTACGGGAATCATTAGTTTCAGTAGTGGAGAGGGAAGAAAGTGACAGCCATTAACAAGGCCGTTAACTTAATCACAGGGAAAAAAAGGCATTTAATTGCTGTGAAAGATTCTCAAAAGAAAGAGTGATGGTGAAGAAAGGCGTCTGTTCATCACATGACGGTAAGGAAAAAAAGTCTCTTGGGGCAGTTCCACGATTTAATGAAATCATGGGGACCAATGGAGCCCATATGTTTGAGAACCATTCAAGGTTTGAAGAGAGAACAGCTGGGTTAATGTGCCCACATCTCCTCACACACTATTTCATGCCAACAACCATGGAAAATGTTGTTCTCATGAAAATCTCAGTCAAACGTCCCATAGGTCTACCCTCTTGTTTGACCTCAAATATGCACAAAGTAGCGCATGGAAGCCTTTTCAGGAAACCAACCAACCTCTCATGTGTCATTCAAACAATATACCATTAATCACCGGCAGAGAACAAATCCAGTTTGCCATGTGCTATTCTAATAAAAAGCAAGTGAAGAACCGCAATGGGGAAGTTTGACACAGACCTGTTATGAAAATATGTTTTATTCACATAGCAGAGCCTGGTACACTTGATAAATGATGCAGTGTGAACAAAATAAATACAATTAAGAAGAGCATCTGCTCATGTAACACTTCCTCCCACATTCCACAGCTCCACTGTGTCATCAGGAGAGAGCATTTCCGACCCTTCACCGACAGGTTAACAACTCATGGTCATTTGTTTCCAATTGGATATTAAGGCATTTTGGCCCAGAACATAAATAATGGTGCCTGGGGAGGCAGCTGTCGCATCAACGTGTAAATCAGGAAAGCCCCTGACAGTGCACATTCCACTGCTCCTGTAAGTGCACTTGATAATGACCATGGTGTTTATTTAATTATAATTTCATCAGACTGTAATACAGCAGTAGAGCGGTTTTAGGAAAATCGACAAGAGTCATGCTGTCATACTGTTATAAAACAATACCATGTGCTTTGGTTAAGCACACGTATGCAAACAAAGATCTCTTTTCCAAAACGACAGGAACATCAAATCATTAAAATGAAAAGAAAAGAAATATAAAATACAATGCTCTCAAACAGAGCAAATTCATTGTTTCAATTGGATAATACAGACGTTTTTTAAAAATTAAAATGTCATTTTCTTTAGAACAGTCCCAATGGCGTTTTGGAAAAGAGCACCCTAAACTGAATGAGGGTGAATGGTCATCGATAAACAAAACATCATTTGGATGGTGCCAGGCAGGTAAATGCACCACAAGCAATTAACAAGGCTGCCCATTATAAACTGGTGTCAAAGCCTTAAGAGTTACTCCACCTGAACCAATGTATGCCATGAGATATTGTAAAACATGCTGAGTTCACATGCAGAAGGTTTAACACTGTATTTTCCAGTCCATTAATGACAAAGGTTCTGCTATCTACAAAATACAACAGTAACATTACGCATTTGTTCCTCTATGTACTGAGTAATATCCACAGTCCTACGTATAGCACAGTTGGGTTAAGTTCTGTATTTCCGATTGCTACAATAAATATGGGAAATCTGTCACTTCTTTCAAATGATATGTGAATCAATTATGAATTGGTTAGACAAGTAAATGCATCACATATGCGGCGGATGTGTACATTTGAAGGAGGCGGTTGTCCTACCGTGAGAGCGGAGAACTTTTGAGCGTGTGCCGCACTCAGCAGACAGAGGAAGACCATCAGAGGACAGACGCGCATCCTGGCGCAATTTGGCAACGCCGTTCAAATTACGCTCAGACCAAAAGCACACCTGTGCAACACCAAGGTAAAAATTAAATAAGATAAACAAGAAATTACAAAAAATAAAATAAAAAAACCGTAGAGAAAGACAAAGGTGTGTTGAAAAATATTTGTATTTCTTCCAAAAGCAACAAAAAACAGGCACTGGTTTGTTGTCACCAAAGCTCCTTGGTTTCGTCTGCACCGCCGTTTGTAAGAGCAACTCCACTAATTTCACTCAGTGTGGTAAAACTCCGTATCCCTGACCCCCTTTCCTCCCTCAGCGTGTCTTCCACTTCTGCTCCTATCCGATTTTTTTTCCGCCGTACATCCCCTCCCTCTACACTTCGCAGACAGACGCAGCACCTCCAGTTGGGAAGGGGAGGGTGTCTGACACCAAATCTGGAGCAAAGACGTCAGATAATCCTGCACTTCTCGCGTTTCCTTTATGACTTCTAAATCAATGTGTTAAAAAAGGGAAGGAAATAACACCTTGCAGGACTTGTCGGTGTAAAGCATTTGTAGGATGCATTTTTCAATATACTTCCAAAGAGCATACTGAAAATCCAAAACATAACTGTAGTGTGGTGGTGGATGTGGAAAACTTTGACGCAAAATACATTACTGTGCTTTAAAATTTAAAGAATGGTCGTTGTTCTTTATGTGCTGATAATAACTCCAAAACTAAACGAGAGGGAAGAGGAAAGTGGACGTTTGTTTAAATTCTTCACAGCAGGTCTCGCCTGGGTTTATAAACAGCAGATTGTTGCATTTGCGCCACCACGTGGCAGAACTATAAGATCGCGTTCTTTGCGATTCGTACACGTTTATACGACTGAAGAGAATGAATTTTCAGGCGTAAATGCTGCATGAAAATCTTTTAATTGTGGCCTACAAATCATAGTCAATTGTGTTGGTTCATTACATGTTGTGAAAACACACACACACACACACACACACACACACACGCACGCACACGATATTCAGTAAGAAATATAACTATTTGATAAGGTAATGTAGATTTATCCGTGAATTTATATGCCACCCACAACACGAATAAAGGGTTAAGGAATGCGTTGTTGGGCTGATGGGGTGGTGGCAAATGTGAGTCGATAAGTCATGACAAAATAATACCAATGATTAGCGGGGATAATGACTGGATGGATGAGTGAAAATGAACTATATTGTCTTAAAGAAAGCACAGTATTCATTTCCTATGATGCAACAAATCACGAAAACGCTTTCCAATAGTGATGTGTCGTTCGCGAACGAGCCGGCTCTTAGAGCCGGCTCTTTGAAGTGAACGACATGAGCCGGCTCCTAAGAGGGAGCCGCTTTAATGGGAGCCGACTTTTTTTTTTCCTCCTGTTTTTTCCCCCTTTCGGTTAAAGCCGCACGTGATTGGTCAAGATCCGTGGTAGAAGAGG